TCGACAATCTCATTTTTACTTACAGCCACGGCACTGATGTTTTGTTTCTGTCTGTCTCTGATGTGTCCCTGGGCAGAGCTGTGGGCACAGTGCCTGCACAGGAGCAGGCTGGCAGGGCAGCTGCCCAGCCCAGGGCCACAGCAGCCTGAGTGTGCCAGGAGCTGGCAGCTGGCAGCCATGGATGCAGGAGCAGTATCCATCCTCCCCGGCCTCCTGCAGCTCTCTGCACTTCCAAGCCCAAGCACAGTGACCAGGGAAAGAGTTTATCAGCTGGCTCGCTTGCTCTTGTTTAAGAAACACAGGTTTTTTAGTCTGTATCATAACAAAGCCTGATTGTTTCAGGGAATTAAAGTCTCCTGAGTTTCTGGTGAGTTTCTTCAGGGAAAAGGCAAGGCTACCTCACAGCTCCCTTTGCCTGGGGCACAGCTCTAACTCCAGCCTGAAGGCTGTAAAAACTGAGGCAAGAAGTCTTGGAGAGATGCTGGGGAGGTCATGGAAGGGAATTTTCAGAGGCCAGTGCACTTGCTTCCCTTACCTGGTACTGCTGTTGGAAGGCCTTCCTGTGAGCTGAATTCCTCTGCTGAATTCCAGAGGCAAACACCTCATCAGTGACATTCCACCATAACAGGGCTCTGCTTCTTGCGACCTAACATCCAAAGCTGTCATTTTATTTTCCTCAAAAGCCACATCTTTGCAGACTTCCATGTGATCAGGACAGTGTATGACAGACTATTGTCTGGTGTTCATGTGCCCATCTATGTAAAGCATCCTCAGGGGTGAAATGTTACTCTAAGACGTAGGTATGGATAGAAGTAGAAGCAAAGTGTTATTGGAAAAATCAAAAGGCTGAACAAGACGCCAAATTTAAAACCAATAAAGAAACAGTTTATGTATAGAAGATTTTTATTTTGAAAATAATTTTTTCAAATTTTGAAACACAGTGTAAAGTACAACATAGAATTATGTCTGCAGTCAGCTTATGCATGTCATGCTAGTTATTTACATGTAGATATATACAGAGTGCAGATAATTATTGAAACCACACTACAAAATAAACAGAGAGTTCAATAAGATAATTTAGTAGGACTTTATTAAATAGATATAGTTATGGATTGTAAATATTTTCCTATTAAAATACCATAGTATCTAAAGTAACCCCTATAAACTCTAATACCTCCAAAATTGCCATAAATATGATTGAAAATGGAAACTATCCATGTGCCCTGTTCAGCTGTTCTGCCCTTTGTTCCAACAGGAACTCTTGCAGAGATACTGGTGCTATCTTTAGTGCCAGAGCTTTGATGACAACTCCCAATAAAACACTAGCAGAAAGCTCAGATGCAAAACAGCTTTCAGCTGAGGCGTCCAAGGGTTGTGGCACTGTGCTCTACACTTAAAACAACAAGAATAATCCGATGGCTTATGAAACACTGCCACACACAGGACAATTAAAGAACCGATATGATCCTCAGTGGCTGAAGTAGTGGCTGTTTGGATACCAAGCACCTTACTAAAACAAAACAAAGCAAACTCCCAAAGCCCATGCAAAATCTTAAACTAAAAAAGAAGAGACCTCCCAATGGGTACAGACACAGCCTGCCTGACAGTGGGCTTTAGCAGGAGTAGGAGCTGGATGGGCTGCAGCAGCAGCAGCACCATCTTCAGGGCTCTGTGACCAACCAGAGAGAGGCTAAGGTTGCCCATGGCTTTGATCTCTGGCCACTGAACAATTCATCCAGGCCTCTCTGCTGAAAGAAAGGACAACCCCAAGCCAGATCAGAGATTATCCCATTAGCAGAATATTCTATCTCCTTTCTGGGGGTTTCTGGCCAGCAAACCTTCACTATAAATTGCCAAAGGTCTGTCTTTGACTTCACTAGAGCTTTGACACTTTCCATCAATGGAGAAGATCCATCCCAGTCTGGAGGATGTGCTCCCCAACCGGGATTTCTCTTCTTGTTGCTCAATACAAAATTGCACAACCTTCTGCCTTAGGAAAAGAAGTATCAAGAACAATGTGCTTTTTAGTTTCATTATTTATTCTGATGCAATATATTAAGTAGAAAATAGGCCGGGGAGAAAAGTTAACAAAAAAAAATCCAATTACTGCCATACAGTGCTTTTTGTTGTTGTTGTTGTCGTAATTACCATTCTGAACTGCAGAATTTTACAACTTTTCCTCTCCTAACATCTTTCCTAAAGGCACATTACAATTCAATCCAATTACAGGCAAAGAATAGAGATTAGCACCAGAAAATATATAAAAGGAAAATAAGTTACTATTACTATCATAGAATAGCGCTGGTCAGCAAATCTGTGCATTTTTTTTTCCAGAAATAATTGTACAATGAACATTATAGATTAGTTAGGGACATAAGTGATAACTATGGTTTAATTTAACAGTTTTGTTACATATAACTCTAAGAGCCAAAATATGGCAAGCACATTTTAATACTGAACTCATAGGAATTACACACAAAAAATGTAATCTTTATCATCATTAATAAAAAGTGTGAATATAGAATATTAATATACTTTACATATTTATCATACAATATATCAGTCCTTCACACTATTAATTTGATTCATGTTGTGCTGCAACATGTATCAAAAGGTTTAACAAAGAAAAAACATGGCTAATTATACGTTGTGGGTACAGACATTATTTCCACAAGTCAAACAATAACACCAACAATGTATCTCTACCTTGGGTTCTACAGTGATATTTGGAACAAACCTGCTGCATCCTTTTAAGAATAATAATAATAATTATTTTAAAAAATGTTTAACCTTTGCTTGTAGAGAGAGTCTGATTTCCATTAAGAATAGTAAATCACTACTATGAGCTAATTTAATTCAGATTGCCTAATTTTCTGGTAAGGCATTATCAAAATATTATATCTCCATTTAGATTTCATAAGGATTTCTGATTCCTTGCTATTGTCAGAAAGGATTTTTGGTGAGGCCTGAGAGTATCATCATTAGAGAAGCTTTGGTGCTGCCTCCTCCCCCTCTTCAGTTTTTGCACCCCTACTAAACTTTCTGGTTCACTGTTCAGCTTCCTGTAGAGATAAACTCCCTCTTAAAAGGCAGGGAAGAGCTGGGGCACCCACAACCCAGCAGTGAGTTCATACAGAAAGTGCTACTATGTGCTGCAGAGGAGAGTACAAGAAAAACCATAGAGTTCCAAAAATCAAAACCCCTGCTCCTGGAGAGTGAGAGGCTAACTCTAAGTAAGAATGGGCATAATCTTCTTCAGATAGAAATGCCATTTTAAAGCTAAAGGATTTAAAAATTATTTTTGCCTAGTTTGGAAGAAGGTCTTACAAAGCTGCAGAACATTACAGAGGAAAACACAGATCTGTTTTGTGAGCAGCACAGGAATGGAATCCAGTTTCTTATGAAGTTGTCTTCTCCAATTCTAATTTTGGCCTAATGTGAGATGAATATGTGGGATCCTCCACAGGGATTCCTCCAGGTCTTTCTACAACCATTCCCTCAGCACTCATAGGCTCTGCTTGGTTAATCTGTAACTGAACTTGGCAGTTCTACAGAATTTTTAATGAACCTGGCATCTTTGACTTTTCTAGCTTGCACTCAGATCAGCTGCTTTCAAAACACAGTACTGAAGAATTGTGAGACACATATAGAGGATGTGAAATCACCTAAGCTTAGGGGTTTTCTTCCCAGTTATTTTTAAATCAGACTAGAACAAAGCAAGTAAGAGCAAACATTTTCTATTTCACAATTCCTCAAGAATTTCACAACAATTAAATTGCCCTTAAGAGGTATGAGGGTTCATCAAAGGATGTTCAATAGAGTTTGCTACTGACTCCATGCAACAGAAAGAAGCTGGGATTTTTTCCCCTGAACACTGCATTTTTCTGCCTGTGTGAGATGTGCTGGGCTACCAGCCTCTGCTCAAAGTTCTGCTTTCCCTTCTGCTCCTTTTTGCCTGCAGCAGCACTTTTCCTGGGAAGGTCACCAGAGGCAAACCTTTTGACAGCCTACAATTTTTTGATTGTAAAATACAGCAAAAAAACAACCAAACCTATGTTGGTCTTCTCAGGGCAATGGCAGTCTCAGGCATAGCTTAGATTAAGAAAACTTGGCTTGCCTTAAAATGGATGGAGATTCAAATGGCTGAGGAAAGATCTTCACTTCCTTTCACATCTGCTCTGGGCACAATAGATGAGCACACGTGCCTGCCTTCACTGCCATTGCCATCAGGAACAACCCTTCATCACAATGCACTGGGCACAGTCTGGATTTAAGATGAAGTGAAACCTATTTTGGGATTAATGAAAATGTTTAGGGTGAAGAAAGAACCCAGGCCACTCAGTCACTAATGCATGGGGTCTGTTCTCAACTGCCTGCAGCCAGTCTTGCTCAGACTCCCCCTACGAAAATGATTTTTGTAAGGATGTTCTTCGAGCCTCTCTCTTTCTCTGACCATCACTCAAAAGATCCTGCAGGATTCTGCCACCAGCCTGAAATCCAGCAATTGCTCTAAAGAATTCATGCACTAATATAAGTACAGAATGTTCTGATGTGCTTCTCTGTGTTGGCAATGAGTCTTACTTTTCAATTTAAACAAGAAAAAGGCTATGGAAAGAAAAAAAAAACAGCTGGTAAAAAATTACTGATGTTTTTACCTTAACAACAGTTCTTTCTTAAACTTTCTTGAAGTAGTGTAAAACTTAGAAATCAACAGATTTATATGTTTATTCCTTGAGAGATCTATGAAACTAAGCCTAGATAATTCTAAGAAACAATGAATTCTTTTGGAAGCACTGATGTTGAAGAAATACTAAGATGGAGGTTAAATGTTTTCAATCAGGAATGGTAAGTAGCCAAGCAAGCAGTGCATGTTTTCCCTCAAGGTGTACAAGAAAACTGCTTAGACTGAGAAAGTTTCTTATGTTTTTCTTTGATTTGGATTTGGTTTTTTTTTCCCTTTTCAGTCCTACCAGGAGCAATCAATAGGTCTTTACAACACCTTTGAAAAGCAAGGAGTTTTTATTCTGTGGAAGGAGAGAATCTCTGTCAAATATTTTAGCAGAAGTCAGGAGAAATACCACGAAGTAATTTTATTGCTACATGGAGCTTTTACCATTCATAGCTTAAAATTGGCTAGTTCACAGGTCATTTGTCTAACTTGCAACGGAAAAAGAATGAGTTACAATTTATCTCAGGTTTCAAAACATACTGCTGTTTTTCACTGCTCACTTCACATGACTACCAATCAGTCCAGATTTAGCATCTCCTTGTTTTCTACAGATGTTCTGAGACACAGAGAGAATATCTTCCAGATGATGGTTATCATTGAAATAAAAGTTGCTAATATTATGTATGCTGATATAGAAAGCAGGAAATAAATCTAGTAAGTATTTGAATGAAACATTCATTAAACATATCACATTTTGAATGAGCACTCACTGCACAGGCAGTGTTTAAACTGATATTATCAGTTGTATAAATTCTATACCATATTGTAACTCAATGACTATCAGAAGTTCCAACTTCTGATTTACGGTAAGGTAATTTCTTATTTGAAATGATTAGGATCAATTTGAGAATCAAGTTTTCTAAGGGAGCATTCAGATCACAATAGGAGCAGTACTTACATAATGAAAAAGTCCACGATTTTCCATATTAAAAACCACAGATTATAAGAAATGTCATAGAGTGCATTGCCTCTACTCTTCACACTTCTGTGAGCAACATCCTCGGACTTGAAAGTCTGCAGCTAAATAGCTTGTTTTTTTTTTTTTTTTATTGCTCTAGTGTTCCTTACCCATAAAAGAAGAACAGAACAACCTTTTGCAAACAATGGAAGTTATTTAAACAGAGTACCATCCTCAGCACAGAAACTGTTAACTGTTTCATCACATTCTGTTCCGTTGGCAGGGAGCTCTGTAACCTGCAGCATCTGAAGGAAATCTACCACTCAGCTAAGGGGCTGATCCCATATCTGTGTCAGATAAAAATCATAGTGCTTATTATTTGTTACCATGGATACCATGAAGATATTGCTGTCCACTAAAGATTACTAGAGGAAGACAACATAATTCTCAGGAACTAGTCCTGTTTTGCCTTCATAAGTTGCCTTTAACCAGCCTGGTTCCACTGACGGGTACACTGCAAAAAAACATATACACACTGTTAAAACATATACACTGTTACAAATCCCATACATGCTACATATATTTATTTAGATAGTATTTTTTCAAGAGCACTTGAAAAATCAGGGCAAAACCTGAGAGCTAAAAAGGGAATTATGCTCCCATTTTGTGATAGGGTTCAGTTTTTTATAGGTTCTTTTTTGATATATAAGTCAATGTAAAACAGATCTTACCATTGGAAAATATTGCCCCCTGTGGGAAAGACAGCTCATGACTATGCTCAGCCTTACAGGAATACATGGCTTTTGCTTGTCTGAAAGAAAAAAAATTCAGGCTTGCAATAAATGAGATAACAAAGATAAAGGTATAAAGGAAATTAAAATTTGGGAAGTATAGGAATAAGCAGATATACAAATGCTATATGATAATGACTGGTTACACAGCAGTTCAGAGGAGTAGAGTTATAGCAGATAATAACTTCAAGTTTACTGGAGTTAACAAGCATACTATTGCAGAGAAGAGACTGACGTGCCACTCAGATATTTAAACAGGAATATAATGTGGAACTCTTAAAATGAAGTTGTCATTCAAATAAGTACTGAAATGAGCATCCTGTTTGAAGCAAGCCTGGAGTGCCTGGAGACAAATTCAGAAGTGATCATCAAGTCATTAAAGGTCTAAAACCTTGACCTGAAAGTATTGTTAATAGGTTGTGGTGGTTAAGAGGAGGACTGAAAAAATCATCTCTCGGGGTCTACACTATGATTCTACAAAGTACAAAATGAGGGTTTGAACATGAAGATGAAAATTAGGACTTCTCTTTAGATTCCTGCATTTTACCTAATACTAATACTAATTACCTAATACTTTAACTTACACATTCAGAACAATTTTACATGAGCTACCAATTTTTCTGAATTTCTTTAAACCCACACTACATTAAGTGAAGATGAACTTGTTGACGATTTCACCTTTGCATGCTATGATGGGCAATTGCCAACTGAGGTTTCCTTCTAGCTAGGATTTATCTCAATAACCCAATATGTGACCTGTGGCAAAGTTTAAAATTTTCTGCATACTTTTTGAGAGTGTGTGTATGCAAGTGGCATTTAATCTATCATGTCTTTCTCTCAAAATACTGAGATAAAAGAGTTGCATGATAGATTAATTACCAGTGCCACATCATAAGCATTATCATCATTCATTTGAACCTTTAAAAGGGTAGGAGAGTGGATGGACATATTCTGCAGTTTTTATGTGAAAGTTTTCCAGAGATGATTTCTCCCTCTGAATAAAAAGTTTCGCTGTTGGTTCTCTGACTTATGACTGGACTAAATGGCATGTTTTGCCTTCATCTTAAGAGAACTGATGACTCCTCAAGGGCTACATTCTCAGGATGAGATTTTCAGAGGAGATCAGGAACAATATCCACGGGGCAGTTTGTTTTCAGTGCCCTGGAAACATTTCTGATTTTTAGTACTGTCATTCTGGTTACGTCTCATCAGCTTACTAAAACAAGTTGAGCACTGGAACCCTGTTTGTTCACTTTGCTTAAAGGTTAGCTTGCTCTCTGGCTGGTGTAGACTGCTCTGAGCAGAGTTTTTTTCCAAAAGAACTCCCTGGTGCCACCGAATGTGAAGAGTTTGCCATCTACACTAGACAAGACAGGTGTCTTGATTTATTACTCTGTATAATCTATACAAATTTACACATAATAATCTACCTAATGTATATACGGAAGGAGTTTAGATAACTTCATTGAAGGTCACACATAAACTAAAATTATTTAATCTCATTTTTCCTCAAAGTTTACAGAGAGCACTACAGGTGTTCTAATTATCCTGACCCAAATCAGTAACACTGTGACAAAACAGCCTGTTGGGATGGGTTGACCCTGGCACGACCCCTTGTTATGCAAACCCTGTGTGGTATAATCACGGATTTTACTCATGTAAAACACTAGAGTAACTGTTAAAGATTGCTGTAGCTGTGATGAACACAAAGTAGTAGGTAATGAATTTACCAAAGCACAGAGATTATGTCAAATCTGAATAATTTGACTATCAAGCCAGGTACCTGTGTTAATAATGAGACACCTGAGTAATACTGACAAAAGACATTTAAGGCAATATTTAAATGTGAGGCAGAATTTCTTAAGTCATTCTTGAAATATGACATGTTGTTTTTATTGCCCTTAGAAATAGTTAAGAAACTAATGCAATTTTCTCCTCTATTATCTAATGTCTAATAAGCTATTCTGTTCTCAACCTCCAATTTTATCTGATCCAATTATGCTTACCTTAAAAATAAAAAAAGACAAGAAAACATAGATTCTGTCTTAGAATTATACAACCACAGAGTTTCTAAGGTTGGAAAATACCTTTAAAATCATCTCCTATGGAAAGAGAAAGGTTCTCAGCACTTGACTTTTACACAGATAGAAAAACACAAGAAGCCAGTTTCTCAAAAGCCAATGAATGATAGGATTCTTCACACTACCTTTCTCTTGAGATAGAGCAATTACACCCCAAAGTTATCTACAAACCATCTGGGATGGTATAGAGTGACACATTTAAGAAAATTTACTGATTATTCTGGAGCAATTTTCAAGCATCTGGTTACTGCCTCCACACTTGATTTGATTATTTAGGCTCTCATATTCAACCCTATCCATTTGGAGGCACTGCTCCTGAAATGAGCTTGCAGGTTCTTGGGCATTTTGTTTGTGATTATGAAAATGGACATTCTTATGGATGGTGTTAATGCTGTTCTCCCTAGAAACAAGGTTGTTAAAAAGCACCTGATAACATCCCCATCATCTATTACTGATCTTTTAAGATGATACTAATAACCTGAGAGGAGTGTGATTCATGTTGTTTAGGGCAGAGGAAAAAAAAGCAACTTCAGAAAATGTTACCCACATTTCCTAGAAGTTCCTTCTTTCCATGACCTTACTAGGTAGATTACAGATGGGAAAAATTTTCCATTTCCTTACTTCCTATTGTGGTTGTTTTGAGTCCAAAATTATAAATATACTAGCAGTCAAATGATCATTACTCATCAGATCATAAATTCTTTTGCTTGACTATGCAGTCAACAATACTTGGGGCTCTAATAATAATAGTAAAATAACTATTTTGAAAGATAAACAAGCTTTAAATCTATGCTGTAGCCCTAATGACTTTTCAGTCTGGCAAGACAAAGCCAGAAGAGGAATAAATGAGGAAAAACATATGAATCTCTCTCAGATGACTCACCAGTTAATACTATCCTACAGGAAGAAGAAAGGTTTATAGAGCCCTGGAGATGGCAGACTCAAAACACTGGCCTGGTCTGAGCAAGGCATTCCAGGTGTTTTAGGAAATGCAAAAACATAGCATGAAAATAAAAACAGAAGAACGACTGGAAAAGAATATTTAATCATAAGGTTGGGAAGGGAGCATGGGTCCAGAGAGCTTCAAAACATCAGTCTGCTCCTATTCAAGTCCCAGCATGGCACCTAGAGATCCTGCTGGAAAGGTTAAGCCTTTTGCTGTCACCTACTCCTTCCCATTTTTCTAATGAAAATTCTTCTTCTAATGCAGTTTCCCACTTCAGGAGACCTGACTTTCCGTGCACCTCTAAATCAAAGCCAAGATTATGTAGAGTTGGAGATTATGTGTTGGTGCATTTCTGTACAGAAGCTGAAATAAACAGACCTCAGGCCTGACTGACTTCTCTAACTGCAGTGTTTGTGAAAACAGTAAGAAAACTCCTTCATCTCTTTCAAGTGCATACTAGATTAGTGACAGAGACTCGTCTCAGTGTGCACAGTGGCTTAATACCACAGTGAGGGAGACTGATGAATAACAAACTTCAAATCAGGAAACAGGAAGACAGAAGTCAAAGTAACTCTGTAATTGGAAAGAGAGCACAGGCTGGACAGGGCATATAATTTTGGTCTTCCCTGTCCAATCCTACCACATGTACTGTGGTCTCTTGTTGTCTTTCTGACTAGAAAAACTCTTTAGTGTTACAGGAGCACATACTCATGTATAAAAGGAGAGAAAATAGGTCAAACAATGCATTAAAAAAGAGGACACACACACTCATTATAGACCTGTTGCATCATATAAAGTCAGAAAGCAGGGTTGTAAACACTGTGTGGAAGAAGGAATTAAATAGGACCAGACCGACCACTGAGGCAGTAAAATACCAAGTGCAGAATTACCTGCTGGAATACAGAAAACAATGTGAGACTGCAAAGCCATGCAAACAAATACTTTTGATCTGCCATCTGTACAAAAGACCACAACAGGCAACAGGTGCTTCAAGCAGGGAAGAAGTTACTTACATTCTACAGTGCATAGGTAAGCAGTAGCTTAAAATTTATCTAAGCAGGGTAAATTACCCATGCAGAGAGTCCAACACTGTCTTGACTTGAGTATTTCTGGTATCAAACCAGGCAGCTTAAAAATAGTTTCTCTGCCTTGCACTCGGCCCTGAATACATTAGCAGAGTTATGAATACAGGAGGCCTTTCTACTGCATGATCAAGTTGTAATTATCATAATTTCTACATACTTTGGAGCAAAAAAAAAAAAAAAAAAAAAGGCTATTCTATGGTTTTAAATCAGCCCGCATGTTCATAAAATGCAGCTAAATAAGAGCTGGCTCTGAATTGCAAAATCATACTCAGACTTAAACAGCACTAAAAGAACAGCTGAGCTACTTCTGATTTCTTCCTCTTTCTCATTTTCCATTCTCCTTGCTCCTGTTGCTCTTCTGCCTTCTTATGAAGGCTGAAGTACAGGAGTTATTCAGCCTTTCAGCGTTTTTGGCTTTGTTATCTGCTCTCCACATCCATTACCAAACTGCTACTTTTTCTTTTGTCAGATTTTTGCTTCTTACATGCTTTTTATATACAGATACAGGTGGTACAGGCTCTGAAGGAACAACAGGGGAGAGCTTGAAAGAAGGAAGTAATACAAAATAAGAAAAGGAACAGTGTTGAAGATGAAATGATGCAGGACTGGTGAAGCAGTAATTGCTTTCAACTTAGGGCACTGGCTTAAGAACATTCCAGACCCTCCATTTATACTTTTCTTCCTTAAATTATTGCCCCGATCTTTTCACACCCCTTTCCTCCCCTGCCACCCTCCTTTTCGTTCATCTTACAGTTCATGTGCTACACCAAACAAGAAGGGCCTTGATTCCTGAAAGCTGCTTCTCTTACAAAATCAGCAGGCCTTTGCAGGAGAGCTTTTTCCTTCCCTCCCCTGCTAGAGCTGCCAGAGAGGACAGCCACATTCCATGGCCACACATTTCAGCATGTTGGCATCTTCGTTTACATCTGTGCTACTTTAGGCTACTCCTTCTGGATTCATGGATTGACATCTTTATTTCATTGCTCAGCAGTTCTGGTAAGTTGTGGGTTTTATCAGTGAGTAAAGCAGTGATCTGCTCTAAATCTGTGCTGTCTCAAAGAATTTGAAAAGCTGGGACAGTGAGAAGAGAGACAGGTGTTTTCCTACCTACATCTATTTACTTACCTGCTTTGTCTGTAAATTGTAAGGGGAGTAGTAATGTACAGAAGATACTGCTTCCTAAACAAGCACTTACTAGAACATTCTAAATTAATGTAATATAAAAATGAATCAAATTAGTGAAATAAATGCAAACAATTGCGAAGAAAATGTCAATACTTCCTGCTGCACACAATCAAGAAGAAAGGTCAACAGTTTCTCCAGACAGACACCGAGGCATGGAAGATGTGATGGTAAAGACAGAAATCCTGATCAAGTTATTCTTGAATTTTCTAAAGTAGATGTTATTCCAGACCTGCAGATATGAGCAAATTACCTCAAACCAGCAGGCTTGCTACTCTGCTGAAGCCATTCCATGCACACAGCTGTATGGAGAAAATACAGCACCCTCATCCTAATTTAAATACTAATAATTTTCTCTTTTATCTGTGTCCTTAAGCAGACAGCTGACCTGAGCCTCTCTCATTATTCTCCCAGGTGAGAGAATAACCAGGCTGGCTATTATTCTCTATGAAATTTAGCTTTGTTTCGAAGACATGATGAGCTTAACAAAAAAAAATTCACATGGCACACGATGCTGTCCAAAAGACACAGAACAAAGCTCCAACACTTCTCTTTCAATCTCTGAAGCCAGCAAAACAGAAAGGATTTTACAGAATGTTAAACAGTTTATAGCACTTACCGTCCTGAAGAAGCTTGTTTAAGTGAACCAGCACTTTCGAACAACTGTGCTCTTGCAGCCACTCTGAAAATAAATGCACCACCTTGCTTTATACTACACATATTAGTTTCATTTTTAATCATCTAAAAACATGGACATAATTTATTTTTTAAAAACTATTCACTTCATCCCTATTCACCAGACTTTTTAAGGGCATAACCTAGCCGAGGCCATGGACTTCTGCATGCTCCAGTGCTGTGCTGAGTCACCAATGGAAACTTCAACATCTTGTGTTTAAAATAATAGATATATTGGAAATGCTTTTACTGAAAGTCTGTCACTATTACACTGGAACACTGAGCTGTGCAGAATTTCCTGTTTAAGTAAGACACAGGAGTCTGTGAAATGACTAGTGATCCCTTTCAGATTACAAAGTGGAGAGGCTGAATGATATCCTGCACTATTTAAACAACTTCTTGATGCTCTGCAGATCTGGAAATCACTTGTTCATGGGGACAGTGACATGCTGGGTCAAAGTCAGATCAGGAGAGATCTGACTTTTCAGTCTTCTGAAAGCACTGAGAAACATTATTAACCCAAATCTCAATAGGCTAAATCACAATCTCTCTTGCTGAGAACTATCTTCCTTTCAGCATTAAAGAAATAAAACTAAACCAAAAGCAAACAAAACCAAACCCCAAGTGTTAAAAATCAACTATTTATCATGCAGCAACTGCAGACACTTCAGAACTGAAGATTCGTTTAGTTTTCTTTTTCCTTCCTCCAATTTTGGACTTCCACAAATAAAATCTGATGATCTTTTTGAGATAACATCATAGACAGTAAATAGCATTTCTGCTCCTTGAAATATTAAATTCCAGAAGAACTAGAGACAATACTACTAATCATTTTTCTAGGAAACTGCCTTGTTGCCAGTCTAGTAAAGTCAATGGTAGTCTTTCAATTGACTTAAAGAGACTTTGTGCCATCTCTTTTGTTTACAATTTTAACAAAACTGGATAAATAATTAACAAATACATAAATATTAAAATCAAGTATTCATACATGCTTTTTCAATTACTTATGTATGTCTCTGGAGTCACTCTATAATAGACAATAATGTAACAACACAAATCTCCAAAATGACTTACACAGATCCTGGTCTTTGATAGCCATTACTTGATGCAGTATCTAATCTTAATCTCCTGCACATTTTGGGAGGCAAATCAGGGTTTGGTGGAGTCTTTAGTGTATCTTTGGTATCCGTTGAAGATAAACTCTGTATAGATCCACTGCAGCTTTTGTTACCTAAAGAAAACACCAAATTATAGGCAACATTAAAGCTGATTTGAAGTTGTTTCACAACATGTATAACTGTGCAAAGCAAAGGTTGTGCTGTTGTTGTTGAGGATTTTTTTTCTTTTTTTCAGAGTCAAAACAGGTAGAGAAACTACTTACTAGGAGTGAGAAGAAACAGCATTTCAGGCAAAAAGCCAGGAGAAAAGAATCAACAGAAAGAATTAGGAAATGATGCTAAATTTGAGAAGGCTAAAAAATTATATCACAATTACATGGCTAGATAGTACAATCAGTAAAAAAGTGACAATAAAAGCATTTATGAAGTAGTACTTTGCATAAAATTGAAAAGAATTCACACGGAAATGGTTCTCAGGAAGTCAACTGATCAAAGCAGCAGTGAAATCAGACCACAATAATTTGTAAAAATTAACATTTCGATATCCACAAAAGCTTCATGCAGTTTAAAAAATATACATAGGAATATATGACCGTGATTTGCCTTAAACAATTACCACTGTAACTTGATAAAGCAAATCTATATGTGTACAGACTGTATAGCACACAAAAGAAGTCCTTTTAATAAATATAAGCCATGTCCATGTGTCCTTTCAAGTGACTTATCAGTGGACTGCTGCCTTTTTTCCAAGGATGTTCTGCAAGACAAAAACTGCATCTGCTTCTCTCCTTATGCCAAAGACTAACCAAAGCTTTAATAACGCTTTAAACGCTGTCATAATACTGATATCCCAAAATACAAGCACAATACCTCTATTACCAATATTTCTAATCTATAGTATTATTCTGTAATATAATATTTTATAGTATTATAGTATCATAAACTATAGATGAATCATAGGAGGATAGAGAGTGATCTAAATTTGAGAAACATATCTTTTAGTGTGTGAACTGTGTAGGTTATAAGCAATGGAAATACGTCAGAAGCAGATTGAAAACAGAAACAACATACCAAAAAAATTAAAAACAAGCAAACAGTACTAATGAGTATCATTAGCTTTCAGACCCAGCTCCTATTTTCTGATGCATAAGTTAACACTTGATGTAATAAAAGACCTTGGAAATTACCTTCAGCTGATGGAATTGACCTAAGGGAAGATGTTGAAGACCTTTTCAGCCCAGACAGACTGTAGGAACTCTTTTTGGTCAGGTCTGTTGGTGGAGAGGCATTTTCTGGTCCAGTGACAGAAGCTACACTTTGGCAGTCTGATTCCACATCTGTTTTGGTTGCATCCTCCTTTGATGAGGATTCTGGACTTGTAGTCCACAGGCCTGAACTTTTCTGGCCATTAGAAGAAGTGGGAGAGGCAATCCATGGAATCCCTCCCGATTTCTCCCTTGGCTGCGAGGGTGTGCACTTGGTGGTGCTGTTCTGCTCAGAGGAGTGAGAAGACAGAGATTCGATGCTGCCCATGGGAGTGCTGTCGGGGCTACTGCTGTACGAGTCACCTAGGGAGGAGGCAGGGGAAGGGAGAGAGAGTGAGATAAAGAATCTGCGTTTTCTAACCATGTATATTTCTTTCATGCCACTTTTAGCTCTTTTGTAACCTTACTTGTTATCAAATTCATTAATCTGTGGTTTACTGCAGAAAGAACACAACTCTTATTTTATTTACAACTTGGAAGACTCATCCTGTCCGTTTGCAGAGCATTAGTCCCTTGCAAGTTGCAAGATTAGCTGATGCATTGTTTGTCAGATGCATTTTCTACAATTTTTTATCATTCCCTACAATATGAAACCTGTATCTAATTTCTCACACCATATAGATTTCCTTTATTTCCAGCAATATAGTTGTGTCTGTGCTTCGTTTAAATGATGACTTAAAACTATCTAGTACTCTGAAAATGTTATTGCCAGAAGCCTTGGCTTCCTCTTACCTCTCTCCTGCCACACCTCTGAGTACCTCAGAGTACCTCTGCTTCTACCTCAGTGTTTCAGGGCACAAGTGAGATACTAATTGAAACTTGTTTACACAAGTGCTGAGTTTCAGCTATTAAACAAAACACAAGTGGAGAGGTATTGGATCAGACCTAGTGGCAATCAAACTGCCCCCAAATGTAGCATCATAGAAGTCATACAATCACTTAGGTTGGAAAAGATCCCCAAGATCATCGAATCCAACCTCTGACTGAACACCACCATGCCAACTGAAGCCTGGCACTAGATGCCACGTCACTTCTTGAATACTTTTAGGGATGGCGACTCCACTGCTTCTCTGGTAAGTCTGTTTCAATGCTTGACGAGCCTTTCACTGAAGAAATTCTTCCTGATGTCCAACCTGAACCTCCCCTGGCATAGCCTGAAGAAGCTTGCATACACTCTGCAAAACACCTGCACAGAAATATCCCTTCTTTATAGTGATATTCATTCATTGCAGTTACACAGTGAAAAACACCTTAAACTGGCCCAGTTTGTCCTCTAGCGAGTGTAACTGACTTGGTTTGTAACTTCTTGCTTGGGATCCCATGTCATTCACACTTGAAATCCCCGTGCAGGGAGCTATTGTTACTTGGTATTTAAACTCCCCCTAGCAGGAAACAAGTAACATAGGGGTGAGGAAAATGCAGCAGCTCTGCAAGAATATACTGAGGATAGATTTCTTAACACGACAGACTTCACAATTACTACAGATCTTCAAGAACAGATGCACTTTAATTGTGGATTAACTTACTGAACCAGCCTCACATAAACGTTTTTGAGGAAGCAAGGGACACAGAAATTCTTCAGGAAGTCTGCTGCAGTAGTGGAATTGTTAACGACTTAAGTTTCAATACTCCTTACTGGTACAGCTAGTAAGTAAAAAAGTGGTGACCCAAATGGATGAGAATGAAGTAAAACTTTTTAATCACATCTATGTAAATTTAAGTAAGTAAGCATTCTAAAGAAGCAATTAATCATAGATGTAACTCCCTGCTGTTAAACAGTAAGCCATAAGTATACTGCTTCTCCCAGGAAGATTAGAGTTTGTTTCTAATCCAGAAAACCGAACAAAGTTTCAGTGGTTTTGGCAGCGAAGGCAGTGGCTGACTTCGAAGAAATGACCAAAGTCATGCATATGAAAAAAGCCAAGTGATGGTTTTGATCTCCTATCCTTAACTGAATTACATTTGTTATAGGAGAAGAGACTGCATTTACTGTTTCTGAACCCTAATAATCATCTTGCAAGCAAATGAGATGAACAGCATATGAACTCTTGAGTTTCAAACTGGAGTGAATTTGGATTAGAATATAAAGTCTACTTTAAATGATGTTGAACACTGTATGCAATGCAAGACTTGCCTATAACCAAACATCCTTCCTCATCTGAGAAGTGAGGACTGCAGTCAGTCAACAGTGCTGCTGTGACTCATAGAGGGTAAAAAGCTGATGCTTAGGATCATTGGAATACAGTATCTATAGGATATTATTCAGGCAAAGTTAAAAGACAGAAAGCAAGATAACCAGTATGCAAGGACAAACTTACTGTCAGGATCTGCCAGACATGGTGTGTATCTCCCTTTGGGTTTACGTGAACCTGTGGAGAGACAAATTGCTCTTGTTCTTCTTGAACTTGATCGGGACTGAGGCTGGGGAAGAGGAATATTGGGGTCTGGTGCAGTATGAAATATCTGCATGATAAAAAAAAAGAGAAAAAATGACATTAAACAATAGAGGTACCCTTACACTTTAATTATTAATCCATTTGTTTTCCTCCCCACTGTGCTTGAAATTAACAATATCATAGTCTCATACATTACAAAAGAGTAAAGTCACAGAATATAAGCTTTGCTTTGATCTCATTTTACAACTCAAGAACCACAATACTGAGCTGTACTTAATATCTGTATTAATTTGTTGAAATAGATTTATTTTCTAGCTCTTGTTAAGAAGGGCTTAACAGTTGAAATTGTAAAACAAAATAGGTGCCTACTAATGACTCTTCTCCAAGAAGTAATATATTTTAAAAAATATTATGACAAGGTTGATTTTTTTTTCTCTGCGTTCCAGAGAAAGTTTTTATATATATCACAGAAATATATAAGGACTTATAATATATAAGTTCTAACTTATTACAATCAAATCAGATTTCAGAAAGCTTTATTTGACAAAACGAGTCAAGTGTAATGAGGAACGACTTTATGTTTAAGGCATCTCCTGGTTCTTATCTTTTACATACCACTACTACCATTTGTCAATTTTGCACTGCATTACTGCAGAAAAAAAACTCAATTTTTTTACCATGCTATGCCATAAGGTGTCCCTGAAAGGATTTCTGGGCCCTCTAGCTATAGGGCATTCCCAAAAGAAGAAGAAGCAAACCATGAAAAGACACCTTTGTGACATTCATAGAAGTGGAAAAAAGCAAATGTACTTCCACAGTAGGAAATATTTTGGTGGACATCTTGAGATGCTCTTGGAATACATTAAAAGTGTATTAAGCACTAGTGAGTAGCACATCAATAACATAATATGTCTGTAGACAAAGAAATAGAGCAGGGGTGACTTTGGTTGTGAAGTCATAGTCTTTGTGCTGAATGAGCTCTGATTTTCTGGAGAAGAAATTCAGTGTTGGAAAAATGCAATATATGTTTTACAATCAGAGCCAAGAAGGCTATCAGGATCATAGCCATTTTGGGGAGTCCCTATGAAATATAACTGATGATATCAAGCTGTACTGTCAGCACCTACTGATCAACCAGTGCAGGGGATCCTGGTATTGACTGGGAACTGCCCCTTAGCTGAGTAATGTGTAATGAAAGAAACTCAAACCTTTTTCCCTCTGTTTTGTCAGTCATCAGAGGAGATGACATAGCTCAGCTAAGATCCCCAGAATAAAATTGCTTTTGACTACTAAATAAAGGAGGTCTTGAATGTTCAGCTGAATTCTGAAATCAAATAGTTTAAAATTAAAACAAAAAATCTGGGAGGCCTTTCAGTGAAGCTGATACCAGCAATGGTAGTGACTGAAAGTAAGTGTTTAAGATTTCCTGCTCAAGTCCTTCTCCACCCTTCTAGTGACTAATGTCCACCATACAGCTGACATGTCCCCTAAGGACAGCAATGGTCAGAAACACTCTGACCTGATACACTCAGAGGAGAATCCATGCACTCACCCAGAGTGAACCTTCATATAGTGGCAGCAAGAAAGAGCTGGAACAGCCAGGAGTGAAGTTATGACCTTCTGTTTCTAGGTTCAGGAAGTAACCTTTAGAACTGAAGGCTCAGAGCAATGCCTTTGAAGCACGAGAGATTATGTATTGGATCTATACCTTGCATAGCCATGAAAGACTTGCTAGGAATAAAGATCCATAGCATGGAGTGAGAAGAAGCTATTAATTCTATTAATGACCTTCTACAAATTTTGGACTTTTTATTCTTAAGGACTTAATCATGGTAACGAAAATGAGATCTTAGTTCTACTTCATAACAAAACAGATAATTTCTTTCTACCTTTTCATAATGCTCTATCAGAATTTCAACGACAATATTCTGAAACTTTATGTTCATCATAGCAGCCACGGTTTCTTCTTGTGCTCTCATCAGAGTTGGTCCAAAGATAACACCAAGGTTGGACACAGTCATTAGATTTTGTTGACTGTGCAATGATACCCTTTAAATGAACACAAACAATATGTGATTTAATTGCTGTGCTAAACTACAATTTTAAAAGGCAAAAATATGCTAAGACTACTACTTTAACAAGATCCCAATTTCATGTCTCTCTTTAAAATACATTTTAAAAACTTCCATTTACAGTAGAATCAAAATACCATGTAGTAAAACTACAGTATTTCCATTAAGGCTCCTATCATGCAATAACATTGAGTATGTCTTCCTAGAGTAGTATTTCAGTTTCTGATATACCTGACAGGGAAAGGCAACCGTATTTGGAGTTCTACACAGAGAGATTCGGAACACCTAAAGTTTAGAAGTCTTAGGGAAAGCACTATCTCTCTCCAATGATTATACAGGTGCTTACATACTTTCAACTGAATTGATTGAAAATGCTGTGTGGTAACAGAGATTAACCATATACTTTAGTTTTCATGTAAAGGAATGAAGCTTAGTTACTGAAAACACGTAATTTGCAATAGGATCTCTTTATCACTTTGATGCAAATATGGGATCAATGGATTCAGTGAAATTATTGTTTGTGTGTGATAGATAACATTAGATGATCACAATGACATCTGGCTTGAAAATGTATTAACCTTTTACTTCTGCATATTCTGTTATCACATACTTTACCTTTTCTGAATTTTTTCTTTTTAATGTAGAATTTAAAAGCTTAGTTTTCCCAATAATTTATCAGGTAGTTAAAACTCAAACAGTAACACTCAATGCCCCATTTCTATCCTTACTACTAAGATTTGCCAAATAAAAACTGTGTAATCATAGATCCATTGAAACGATCATCAGTGATTCCCCAGTCACAGCTGTCCTAGTGCCTCATGTCTGAGGAATATTATGCCAAGTCAGGATTTTGAAATTATCTTAATGCCTAATTTTATTGAATCTGTTACCAAATGGAACTTAATAATGAGGCACTGGTTCACATTTTCCTCTTCCTTCTCACTGTATCTGCTATTATGGTCAAGCTGAACGTTTTTAGCTATTTCCTACACAATTAAAATAACTCTTTCAACTTTTAAAATTAAAAAATAGTAAAATCTATAAAACATTACCCTCATATTTGAGACAAGAAGGTTTTAGTACCCCATTTACAT